AACTCCTGTTGAAGGTGGAAAAAGCATGTGATGCTGATTGAATGTGACCGCTGAACTGTATCAAGAGAAATGCCATCAGGTGAGAAGCTTAGTCTATCTTATTTGCATTTTTTTTCTTCATGTTTTTTTTTTTTTTTCCTCTTCATCTGTGGTATATTCACTTTTTTTTTTTTTTTTTTTTTCCTCTTCATCTGTGGTATATTCACTTTTTTTTTTTTTTTTTTTTTCCTCTTCATCTGTGGTATATTCACTTTTTTTTTTTTTTTTTTTTTCCTCTTCATCTGTGGTATATTCACTTTTTTTTATTTTTTATTTTTGGTTAAGAATTTCCTCTGCTTCCTGGACTTGGTGTTTGTTTTATGTACAGACAAATTGTGACTTTAAGGAATTTTAGAAGAGCTATGACCATGGCAAACATTTATTTATTGTAATGTATATGACTATACAATGAGTGGTAAGACTTTTAAAGCTCAAATGCAGAGCTTAATGCTTGACTGTGTATGAACGTCTTGGGTTTCACATAATCTGCTCTGGTTTTTGCTCTTTCAAATCCTACACTTTCCTGGGCATTGTATAAGAAACTGTTTACTTCACTGTGGCATTTGGTGAGGTTAAACATTTTGGCATCTGTGATTTTTAGATCTGAATTTCTGAGGAGCCATGCACCAAAAGGTGAAATTGTTTTGTAGTGTGTAGGCAGTTCTAAATTGATTGTTGCTGTTAACTTGTTAAAGTGTCTTTCTGTTATTACAATTTTGTGGCTTATACCTGTTGTACATCAATGGCCCTTTGGGTTCACATGTCTTATGGTGCCTTTTTATTAAAAAACTTTTTTTTTTTTCTAAGCATGACTCTTACATCTTATTACTGATGTGACCATAGTTTTAGACCCTATACTGACATCTATTGATATTAAACCGTTTTGTCTGTGCTGCCACCACTATATCTGGAATGTATCAAGTGTTTGAGGTGATCTCGTTCTCCCTCCCTTTTAAGCTGAAAGGACATAGTATGTAAGGCTGCACAATTAATCAAATGCGATTTGTCATGCGCATTTTGATAGTAATGCCAGTTCTGAAATCAGCAGTAAATCATCACGTGCTTTCAGGTGGAGCAGAATTTACCTCACAGAGCAGTAGTTCACTGACAAGTTGCGCAAAAAAAAAAAAATCTCGGATTTTATTGCGCGATTCTGAAGTCGTTTGAGATAATGACCGCTGTTTGCATTGCTTCTCGGTGAACTACGGCTCTGTGAAGTAAATGCTGCTCCATCTGAAAGCATGTGAAAATACCACATTTAATAACATTTTTACTCAACTCATTTCATAATGTCAGTGGAGTGTTTGAAATGAATCCTGATGTGGCTTCTTACACCGAATGAGGCACGCAACGTATTTAAGCAGTGATAAAGGGACTGCATTATAAGCCAACTTTATTTTAATGAAAATAAGAACTCATATTAACCGTACATTGCCATAGTCGTGTGTTTAAGTCCCGTTGAATCAATGAAAGCCGTTGAATCTTCTGTTTATTCAGCAGCAGTGATGGGCATTTTCTGGGTTTCTTCTGCAAGGCGTGTTTGGCGTTTCAGCGCAAGAGTGCCCTCTTGCCTTCGGATGAGATTTACTGCTGATCACAGAACTGTGTTTCGCTGAAAGCTACGCATGACAATCGCAGCTTCTGTCGAATTGCCATCTCGATTCCATTTCGATTTATCGTGCCGCCCTAGTAGCATGGATGGTCAGTGGCACCTTGTGTATGCTTTTTCATATTTAAAGTTAAAGTGTCTCTAAAGCGACTTTTAACCCCACTCTTGTCTTTTATTTCCTGTTTATTGAAAAGTCTAAATGCTTCTGTAGACCAATTCTTTCTCTATCTATGCTGTCTTGGTACTCAACCACAGCCTTTCACACTGTTTTGGACTATATAGGGCAGCCAGCAACAAAGCTGTCATCCCTGCTTTTCATCTCTGCCAGTCAGTGACAATGCAACATTCAGACTTTGACCAATATTGTTTTCCAGGTAACACTGAAACTGTATTAGCCCTCTATGGACCTTTCTCCCATACTTCTCCCTCAGCTGGGCAGGTTAAGTATCATGCCATGACTTCCTAATCATGCCAAAATGCATTTCTTGATGCGGTTAACTCTTTTGACTTTGTGGCAGTTGGCAAGTTCTATGCAATTTAACCACCTACTGAGATATTGTAAGTATTGGTCGCTTCTCCATTTAAATTCTTCCTTGACTATATCGGTCCCTGCACCAACAGGTCATCTAATGAAACATCCTCCAGCCTCTTGCTCTCAAATGGTATGCTTGAGCCTTGGACCAAGGTAAAGTCTCTTTTGTCAACCAGTCTTGCTTTGGAAGGTGTGTTTTTTTTTTTTTTCCCCCCTCTCTCTGAAGATCGCCTTGAACCTGTAAGTTCAATGAGGGGGAATGTTGTTCTTGCCATGTGACTTCAATACATCCCTGTTTACCAAATGCAGAAGTATAACTGCACCCATAGACCAATTGTACAGCTGCTTGTTGGCTGTTAACGCTGACTTCACCTTTCCACTCAAAGTGTCACATTTGTTTTTAACTGAGACCTGGAGATGAGACCACTCCCTCTGTGCTCTGGCAGACTTCCACACTCCTCAACCACCTGAATTATCTAAAGCACAGCCATTGTGGACAGCGAGTATGTGTGCTACAAATGCAGGCATGTGAGACGATGGGAAGTCCATGTAGTTTTGGTGATTGAGGTCTTGAATTTCAGTTATTGTACGGGTGGTTCAGTTTGTTCTTGTTGCTATTTTCTTAAGGTGTGTTTTTTTTTTTTTTTTTTGTGTGGGTGTCTTTGGCTGTAACTTCAAAAGTGCAACAACTGAGATCAGCATGCTGCTATCCTATCTTGACAGCCCATTGACGACTTGAGTCCCTTTCCCTGGGTAGGTCTCTTTTTAGAACGCCAAGTCCTCCTAGTCTTGTTCGACCTCAGATGGTTCTGTACTACAGCAACTCAAGCCAGACAACCAACTGGACATCACTGCATGTAAAAATCACCGTTTTATTTTGTACATGGATTAAAACAAATGCATATTGGTTTTTACTTGCATTGAGTTTACAATCAAGTTAAATTTGTGCAAATTTATCGTACTATGCCTAAAGGGCCTCCAGGAGAGACCACAGACACCCAGATAAGTAATCATAGCCTTGTGGAGAACTTCTTCACGGAACCGTGATTTGAAACTCAACTTTGACTCCTGGTTTTCAGTGTGCATATTGGTTCAGTGGCACCTCTGCTCCTACAATACAAGTACTACTTTGTAAGGAGACTCGTAAAGAGGCAAACAGAAGGTAGTCAGCTGTTCGTGTATATTCACTGCCACTTAAGTGCAGATATCAGATGTATAGGGGTGCCCAAAACTTAGGACTACAGATATGTGTATAGAAGCAGCTGCAAATCTTTATCAATGTGCGCAAGGAAGAACTATAAAGATGGTTGGTCTGTTGCATTGATAACGGTTATTGTTTGGTTAGGTTTTAATTGAGAAAAATAGTCTTCAGTGTTTACGAAGTCTCTCACAAAACCAAGTCGATCACTACACCAGAGCAACTTGTCAGAAATGCAACTTGATGAGTTGCAGTTGGTAGCGATGATCCAAATGAACCATTCTGCCTTATTTTCAAGTAACACACCTAGCATTGTTTTAACAGATGCTGCATTGACCAGTCAGAGCATTCACCTTAAAGCGGTTGACCCAGCAACGAGACCAATATGCCAGGTGTTGGAAACCTTGCAAGGGACATGGGTTAGTCTTCAGTTCAAGAGGGACTCCTCACCTAGGCAGCTCCTGGAGAATGTTCATATGGCCTTGTCAGTACCTGATTATAACAATTAAAAACTCATTAACTAATTTAAAGAAACAAGAATATTGAGACTTCTGTATAAATGAGGTACAACTGCGAGTTGTAGCATTTAGCCATTTAAGGTCAAACAAAGCTAGAAGGGCTTAGAACTCTTGCATGAGTCAGATCAACATGGACCGCGAAGCCAACGAGCGGGCATCAATCCTTAAAGAAGAATAACATTACATCCAGCTCCATGTTGTCCAGCTTACCTAGAAAGCAAACACCACAAACTTAAGTATTCATAATTGCAAGAGATTCAAGATTGTTGTACAGAAGATAAAATTTGGAAAAATTAGCACCAACAACACCTGCTCTCCAACACTTCCCTCCAAACTGATAGAGGGTGGAGTCACTTTGTCCTTTGGTCACATTTAGGTCCCAGTCAAAGCCCAAGATGAGCAGAGTATAGCTACAGACTGCTGAAAAGAGTTTTATTACCAACATTGTTCAAATGTCTTGTGTTCAGAAGAAACTCATCGGGAAGTTGTCAAACTTGGAGTAAGTGAAAAGTCATTTTTGGGTGAACCACCACTTTAACTCTCCACAGGACACCTCTGCGCTAAATTCAAACACACACAAGGAATTAGTGCAAAACCCAAATATAACTTAGACTTCTCTAAATATTCAAAAGACTAACAAATTGCAAAACCACAAAGTGTCAGACAACAGCACTGCAGACATGTAAAGAGAGCCTTTGTAAACACTGAAGCCCATTTCTTTCAATTAAAACCATAACCAAACAATTACAGTTATCAGTGCAACACAGATTAACCATCTTTATAGTTCTTCAGTAATATACATATATATATGTAATATATATAGTCCTATGTATGCACGCAGCTGCAAGTCTTTTTATCAATGTGCACAAGGAAGAACTATAAAGATGGTTAATCTGTGTTGCACTGATAACTGTAATTGTTTGGTTATGGTTTTAATTGAAAGAAATGGGCTTCAGTGTTTACAAAGGCTCTCTTTACATGTCTGCAGTGCTGTTGTCTGACACTTTGTGGTTTTGCAATTTGTTAGTCTTTTGAATATTTAGAGAAGTCTAAGTTCTATTTGGGTTTTGCACTAATTCCTTGTGTGTTTGAATTTAGCGCAGAGGTGTCCTGTGGAGAGTTAAAGTGATGGTTCACCCAAAAATGACTTTTCACTTACTCCGACAAGTTTGACAACTTCCCAATGAGTTTCTTCTGAACACAAGACATTTGAACAATGTTGGTAATAAAACTCTTTTCAGCAGTCTGTAGCTATACTCTGCTCATCTTGGGCTTTGACTGGGACCTAAATGTGACCAAAGGACAAAGTGACTCCACCCTCTATCAGTTTGGAGGGAAGTGTTGGAGAGCAGGTGTTGTTGGTGCTAATTTTTCCAAATTTTATCTTCTGTACAACAATCTTGAATCTCTTGCAATTATGAATACTTAAGTTTGTGGTGTTTGCTTTCTAGGTAAGCTGGACAACATGGAGCTGGATGTAATGTTATTCTTCTTTAAGGATTGATGCCCGCTCGTTGGCTTCGCGGTCCATGTTGATCTGACTCATGCAAGAGTTCTAAGCCCTTCTAGCCTTGTTTGACCTTAAATGGCTAAATGCTACAACTCTGTTGTACCTCATTTATACAGAAGCCTCCATATTGTTTCTTTAAATTAGTTAATGAGTTTAATTGTTACAATTGGGTACTGACAAGGCCATAGGAACATTCTCCAGGAGCTGCCTAGGTGAGGAGTCCCTCTTGAACTGAAGACTAACCCATGTCCCTTGCAATGTTTCCAACACCTGGCATATTGGTCTCGTTGCTGGGTCAACAGCTTTAAGGTGAATGCTCTCACTGGTCAATGCAGCATCTGTTAAAACAATGCTAGGTGTGTTACTTGAAAATAAGGCAGAATGGTTCATTTGGATCATCGCTACCAACTGCAACTCATCAAGTTGCATTTCTGACAAGTTGCTCTGGTGTAGTGATCGACTTGGTTTTGTAGTTGAATTGTACTTATTCGTGATTTTATTGTATTATGCATCACGGTTTCCCTTATTGTAAAAATTTTCTTTTTTTTTTTTTTTTTTTTTTTCCTTTTCCAAGAAGCCCTGAAGGAAATAAAAGCACTTTAATCCAAGCCCAGCTGTATCTGGTTGACATCTGAAGGGAAGAAATTACAACTTGCACTCAACATGAGCTTTGTTTGACTCTTTCAAAATGCCAGTTTTAGATTTGTTAATTTTAACTGCTGTCATAGCCCTGAAGCTGAAACCACTCTCTGCTCACCTTTGACTTGACAGAACTGAATTTGACTATAGGCCATGCTGACACATCTGCAATTTGTCCCAGAGCCCACATCGTAAACCGAAAGGGCAATGCAAATAACTCCTTTTGAATCTTCATGTGCCATATTGTCTGCAGGTCATCTTAGAGGAGCTAAATGTGCTCTTATCCTGTACCTTGATGGCAG